GACAAGTCGAGCGACTAAGCCGTAGCAGACGATCAACAATGCTCTCTGTTTCTTCTCTACTCGCGTTCCCTCCCCATGATTGCGAGCCTGGGAAAGGGTAATATGTTGCAGGGGAACCATCTTATGACAGACTCGATTTGCCCTCCCTCGTCTTCTGTTCCAAGGGGTCTGTGAGAAAACAATAATAATATATTAAGGATCTTATACCGTGTTTATTCAACCTTTTCCTTGCTTCTTCCATTGTTCCGGGGTTTCCACATGGCAGGCGACCAAGATCACGTAAACTACCCACATTTTGGAATGGCGATTAGGGCTGAGGGAGGAAGTGACCAAGCAAGGTCACCTGGCAAGTGAGTGGCAGCCTCTGGTTTCCAACCCAGAACCGTCTGACCACGGTCCTGTGTTCTGCCTACACTTATCGTGATGTGGCCCCCGCAGTGGAGCACCTGGGAGGGGCCTGCCTGCCCATATCACAGATGAGCTGGACCATCCCAGAAGGTGTAAGGTTTGTGCCCAGAATGAGCCACAGTTGCAGAGGGAGCTCCAAACCCAGCAGGTCCCATGGTGAGGCCAGAGAGGCCCTCACCCTCCTTCCCCCTACCCCGAACCCCTCCTCCATTACAGCCACGTTGATGCATTTCCAAAGCAGGAGCATTCTATCAGCCCTCCACCCCCATCTGTACACATGCACAAATGCATGCACACGCACACACAGACATTTACACGGACACACACCTGCACGCACACGCTGCTCTTGCTCCAGTTCCCGGCGCTGTTCCTCTGCCACCTCAGCCCCATTGGTCCTTCCCCGGACTCCAGCCTCTCTCCCCAGCTCGCACCCTCTTCCTGAGACCCCTGCCCTCCCCCCACTCTGCTGGTGGTTTAAAGACAAGAATACTGAGAAGACACAGCCGCTCTGTCCGCCTTCACAGACAGGCCCTGTCCTCCCTGGACCGATGAGCGCAGAGGTGGACTTGGCCGGAGGGCCTGGCTCCTGAGCAGCTGTACACACCTGCATTTGGGCGGAGCTGTCCGGCCTGTCAGAGGGGCCCTGGACCAGACGCATCTGTTTTGCCAAATCTACCTGCCTGCCCCGGCCTCCCTCTCAGCTCTGCATGACACCTGGGCCCACCGGATGGGACAGGGATATGACAGCAAATGGGAGATGTTGATATGGGACAGAGTTCCAGAAAAGGAAGGCACAGAGCACAACTGTCCCAGAGCAGTGGAATCCGCACGCCCCGGGGCCTGGACACCCGGCTTAGCATGCTTCCCCTGGGCAGCCCCCCCCCCTCCCCTGCCTAACACGGGTGGCAATGAACGTGCCTCTCCTGTCCTGGGCACTTTACACGCCAGACCCCACAGCTGCCCGTGGCTTGGTATTGTCCCATCTTACAGATGTGGTGACTGAGGCTCAGACCCAAGGTCAGTGTCAGGAATGAGAAAGGCCTTTAAGTTTTTTTTTTTTTTTTTTAAATATATTTTATTGATTTTTTACAGAGAGGAAGGGAGAGAGATAGAGAGTTAGAAACATCGATGAGAGAGAAACATCGATCAGCTGCCTCCTGCACATCTCCTACTGGGGATGTGCCCGCAACCCAGGTACATGCCCTTGACCGGAATCGAACCTGGGACCCTTCAGTCCGCAGGCTGACGCTCTATCCACTGAGCCAAACCGGTTTCGGCAGGCCTTTAAGTTTTTCTCCATCCCAGAGCTGTTTCTCCTTTTGTTCTTTGGCTTTTCTGATTTTAACCCCTTTTCATGAACTGCTCTCGGTGGAGACGGAAAAAGGAGGGTCTTTGAAATCACTCTTGCTAAGTCCACGGCTCCCAAGGGCTTCCGGCTGGGCAGCATGTTTGTGGCTACCCTGGCGGTCACCCTGTGGGAATCCCCTACCTGGCCCCGGCTCTGGGCACGGGGTGGTGCTTAGTGTTGACCTGCGTGTCCTCAGCCCAGGCCCGCAGAGCAGAGGGCTGTCTGCCATGGCCATCTGTGGGCTTGATTGCAAAAACCCCCGCCCCCAGCCTTGTCCATCCCCAGAACACGTGGGGGCCTGCAGGAGAGAGGGCCCGAGGAACCGCCTACCCTCACCCCCATCGCAGCCTGCCCGGCTTGGTCCCCAGGCCACATGTGGGCCAGCTGGTGGGAGTGGGGTGGTTCTGTGTCCTGGGGAATCATGCATCTTCTCCCTCACCTGCACCCACTCTCTCCTGACCCCAAGGGGCTCCAGCTTCTGTCCGTGCGTTCAGGGTGGGCCAGAAGGACTTGGGGGCCTGGGCCTCCGCTGATGGCTCCCTCTCCCTCTCCCTCAGGTCATCCAGGAGGTGAGCGGCCTGCCTTCAGACGGTGCGGCCGAGGGAAACCAGTACTCCCCGGAGGCCCAGCGCCTGAGCTGTCAGAAGGTAAGAATCCAATTCCATTTATCTCCATAAAAATTAAAGTATAAAGTGGGAAGCTTTGTTTTTACATTCAGCCCAATCAACAAGAAACCGGCAAGGCTTGGCTATGGGCTGTGGCTTCCGCATGGCAGGGAAACTGGTGACTCGGACGGACCTAAACTACTTTCTCGCTTCGCTGGGCAGCAGGCGGGGAGCTCTACGGGGACAGAGGCACTCTGCCCTCCACACCTCAGCAGCGAGGTTTCTCGAAGCTCTTTCTGCCCGCTGACCCCCTGAGCAGAGGTCCGGGGGCTGGGGGGCTGGGGCACTGAACCACAGGGCCCTGGTGCTCATTTGCATGGGGCTGCGGAGCCCCTACTGAAGGGTCAAAGTCGAGGAAGTTGCACTGGGTGCTGACCAACGGGGAGGCCTCCCCCGTGGGGTGACATTTCATGGCCCCGAGTACGAGCAGGTCGGCGCCCTGCAGCCTGGGCATGCACAGCGCAGGCAGAGGGTCACTGCGTCTCATCGTGGGGTCCCCACCCCTGAACAGGAGGAAGTCGAGGCCTTGAGCAGGGAGGAGGGCCTGAGGAAGGGCTGTGGCAGTTGTCTCTCTTCCTTGGTCATGGACAAGAAACAAAGCCAGAGTCGGCGCGGGTGTTCTTCATGTGGGGTGAGAAGTGAGCTCAGTCCCTAAAGACCTGGCAGGCAGCGGTCTGCCCTGGTCCTGCCCTAAGGCTGGTCCCAGTGGCTGGGAGTCCCAGGGTTTACTTTGCAGAGTCTGGGGGAAGTGTTTCTAGAAGCAGCTTGATTGGAATAATCTGATACTACTTCCTGTTTGTTTTTTAAAATATATTTTATTGATTTCAGAGAGGAAGGGAGGAGAGCTAGAAACATCAATGGTGAGAGAGAATCATTGATTGGCCGCCTCCTGCACACACCCCCCTCCCCCCGGCCCGGGGATTGAGCCCACAATCCGGGCATGTGCCCTGATCGGGAATCGAACCATGTCCTCCTGGTTCATAGGTCGACGTTCAACCACTAACCTACACCAACCAAGCAAGATGCTTCCTGTTCTAGCACCAGCAGCCACACCACTCCTGTAGGGACGACCTCTAGCTCCCCAGCCGCCCCAGGAGTGCCCACGGGGGGCGGGGGGGGGAGGAGGGGGTGCCATCTATTTTATGTGCATGCATAGTGGGCTCCCGGAGCACCCCCCCAGCTGGAGAATGCACCAACGGGATTCAGATCATGCTCTGGCCCGTGCAGACATGCTGGCCCTCCTCCGAAGCCCGAAGTGTTGGTAGCTGCCAGTTCTCGACTTTCTCACGCTCCTGGCCTGGGTGGTTCCCCGCTTGACATCAGCTTCAGCTGCAGACACCCACTCTAATGCCACCCCCCCCCCGGCTCCCCCCCGGCTCCAGGGCCACTGTCATGTCAGGGCGAGCAGCCATATGAACAAGGGACAGGTGCTCTGGGATGGAGCAGGGGTCCTCAGGGAGGGAGGGTGAGGGCAGGTCCCCAGAGGGCAGCCCAGCCAGTGCCTCACCAGAGGCCTGGACTCCAGGGTGACCACTAGCCGACATCTGAGAGTATTATTTTCTCTTAAACTGTGGTCTCTGACGTAACCATTCTCAGATAGGATCACCCACTTGTCTCTCTTTCTTCCCCAGGCAGATATATCTGAGAAGTACCTGTCCGCCTCGGAGTATGGAAGCTCTGTAGATGGCCACCCTGAGGTCCCCGAGACCAAAGATGGTACCCACGCTTATGGCTCTCAGCCCAGGGTGGGGAGGGGATGGTCCCCAGGCTGTGTGGCTCAACCCTAATGCGCTTTAACAGCTACTTCCAACATGCCTCCCCTTATAAACAGCTAACAGAACCAGGGAAAAGGCAGAGATGTCCAAATGGAAGTTCCGTGACTTGCTGGGGGTAGAATATTCTCTCATCCTCTTGTTGGCCCACCCTGTTGTCATGCAGTCTGTAGATGCCCAGGTGCTGGAACATTCCATGAGAGAAGCCGGGGTGCCCCTTTTGAGTGTTTGAATCTACAGACCCCTGGCTCTGGGCTGTGGATCTTGGTGTGGGGAGCAGGAGTCTATGTGTGCGCATGCGTGCACACACGTGTACACACGTGTGTGCAGGGAGGGGCAGCTGTGGTGGGGAGGGTCTTCTATTTTTCCCCCCCGCCCCCGTCTACTCTAGGGCCTGTGCGATGCTGATGGCTTTTTCTCTCATCTCGACAGTGAAGAAGAAGTGCTCTGCGGGCCTCAAACTGAGCAACCTGATGAACCTGGGCAGGAAGAAGTCCACCTCGCTGGAGTCTGCAGACAGGTCCCTGGAGACAGCCTGTAAGAAGCGCAGCGCCTCCTGGGCCGCAGGGCTTGACCCCTGGGCTGCAGCCCGTCTCCAGGAAGGCAGCTCAGACAGCGAAGGCAGGGGCTGTAGGTCTCGCTTTAAACGTGTCTTAGGGATGGGGAGTCGTGGCCCAGTTCCCGTCTCTCTTCACTGCAGGTAGTTCTTCTTTATGTCTGGCCAGGCTCTCACTGCAGTGTGGATCTTTTGCGGAAGTGAAGGGTAATGGATTGCTGTCCTCCTCATGGTCTGGGAAAACATGTTCGTTAGATCGATACTTAAGGAGCGTGGCAGGCACAGTGTTACGGAGAGGGAACCAAGCGGATGGAGGACACAGTCCTGGGAGCTTAGAGCTCAAGACAGATGACAGTTTTGCCCCCATCACCACGTACCTGCTGGCTGAGCAGCTGTCAGGACTCAGGGACGGAAAGAACCTTTCCCGCTCTGGACAGAGATGGATTCCTCAACCGGAGTCTTGATGAACAGGCAGGAGCTATGTAGGCTCGGAGGTACCCGGGGTGGGAGCCAAGACTGAGACGCAGACTGGTGAGACGCATTCAGGGGCCGGGCTGGCGAAAGCCCACGTCGCTGGGACAGAGGGCGTGTAGGGAGCTAGTAGACTCTTAGAGGTCACCCCCACTGCCCTTTCTCAGCCTGAGGAAACTGAGGTCAGGAGAGGGAGAGAGACCTTTCCCAGAATATATCTTGAGTGAGCCGCGTCCTGGTGTTCCACCCGGGCTCATTGCTATAGGTCAGTGATGGCGAACCTTTTGAGCTCGGCGTGTCAGCATTTTGAAAACCCTAACTTAACTCTGGTGCCGTGTCACATATAGAAATTTTTTGATATTTGTAACCATAGTAAAACAAAGACTTATATTTTTGATATTTATTTTATATATTTAAATGCCATTTAACAAAGAAAAATCAACCAAAAAAATGAGTTCGCGTGTCACCTCTGACATGCGTGTCATAGGTTCGCCATCACTGATGTAGGTCTCCCGGGACCTGAAGGCCATCACTGTCCATCTTCGGGCCCTTTCCTCTTACTCCTGGGACCCCTGTCCCAGCCTCAGGCCCACTCTGTTCTGTGTCTGAGGCTGGCCGGGTGGCCGGGGTGGAATGGGAAGGCAGCACAGGGCCTCACCTTTGGAGCCTGCCGCTTCTCCTGCCAGGGCACCCAAGGCCTCAGGGCACAGTGTTGGGCATGGGAGCCTGGTCCCCGTGAGTCACTTTGGGAGATGTGGCTGGGTGACTGCTGGAAGTTGCTCAGTGGCAAAGCCTGCTCCTATCCCTTGTGGCTCGGGAAGGGCCCGAGAGAGCACGGACACTCTCCTCCCCAGGCTCGGCCTCAGCGCTCGAGCCTCCCCTGACCCAGAGTTCTCTTCGGTGCAGGGAACTGTGAGGGGCCAGTGGGGTGCCTGCCCAGAGGAGCCAGAGGTCCTAGGTCCTGGGCACAAATCTTCCCACTTTGCTACTGTGTCGTGGTGGTCATGTGGCTCTGAGAAATTCATGATCCCCACTGTGTGGCCGGCACCGGGTGGGTGGGAAGGTGGCTGTGCACTTTGACCTTGCTGCATGAGCCTCGTTCATCTGGCTGCAGTTCTGAACAGCTCTTAGGAGCAAAAAGGAACCCACTTGGTAAGCCAGCAGCACAGAGGGACATCAACCCATTGCACAGGGGCGTGCAAAGGGCCTGCAGACTGGAGTCACTTATCTGTGCAGCCCAGGGACAAGGCCATGCTTGACACAAGGTGTCAGCTCCCCACATGTTAATCTAAGCGGGGGGAGGCTTGTCCTCTTCTTGGGAAGCTGAACGGAACACATGGGACCACTTGAGAGCAGTGAGGTCTGCCTCGTGAGTGGACCCTGGCAGCTTCTGGGTGCTGTCCGGAAGAGGGGCTCCCTGGCGGAGGCTGCAGGGCACAGACCCGGCTGCCTGAGATGAACGTGCAAGTTCCTAGCCTGGAGAAGCCGTGAGTCCCGTTGGAGAGGCTGACATGGAAGCAGAGAGTGTCACTGTTCCAGACCCAGCTGTTCAGAAGCAGACAGCAGTGCGCGCAGGGCCGAGGGAGGGCTGAGGCCAAGTGCATCTGGGAGGATGAGGAGGACTCTGCAGGCTGAGACTGAGTGACCAGGGCGGGCCAGGCTGGCAGGGCCGCTGGGAAGCTAAGGCTGCAGAGGCAAAGGGCTTGCACCTGCAATGAGGAGACCTACCTGGGGCGAGCTTCCTGCACGTGGCCCGAGCGAGGAGAGGCAGAGGTGGGCTGCTGCAGGCTGGACGCGGAGAGCCGTGGCGAGCCGCGAGGGCTGGGGCGGGGGATTCTGTCCCAGACACCTACATACTGACCTAGTGTAGTCCAAGGTGCAGCTCACTTCCCTCTGGACACACCCTCTCAAAAGCCAGCAGAGCTATGCTGCCTGACTTGAAAGGGTCTCGCTGCTAGCCTGCAGGAGGGAAGGAGAACATACGACAGAGATTCCCAGCCTCTGTGAGCTAAGAAGCTGCTCGGGCATTGGAGCTGAGACTCTGAGGGGAACCCCGGGAGGCCCAGAGGTGGGGGCAGCCACCCCCAGCTTCCTGCAGCCGCCGCCTCTCCTGCAGGTTACCTGAACGTGCTGGTGAACAGCCAGTGGAAGTCACGCTGGTGCTCCGTCCGGGACAGCCACCTGCACTTCTACCAGGACCGGAACCGCAGCAAGGTGGCCCAGCAGCCCCTGAGCCTGGTGGGCTGTGAGGTGGTCCCGGACCCAAGCCCGGACCACCTGTACTCCTTCCGCATCCTCCACAACGGCGAGGAGCTGGCCAAGCTCGAGGTACTGCTGGCCCGGGGGTGGCGGGCGCAGCCAGGGCGGAGGTCGGCTCTGTGCTGCAAGTCATGGAGACGCTGTGTAGTCCTGGGTTGTTTTGGTTTCCTTTGCGTGAGATTGTTTGCATTTTTCAAAAATTTCCATTCCCTTTCTGACCTCAGGGTGGTTGTGTTATAGGAGCGGACAATGAGCTGCTTCCTGCGCTTAGGGCCGGAGGGGAATTTATAACTCCCTGAGCCGCGGGGGAACCTTCTGGAGATTCACAGCGGGTTTGGTGTAGTTTGTGTAGCACCAGACGCAGCCCAGTCCATAAACATGACGCCTGTTAGGGCTTATCTGGGGGCAAGCATCGGGCTGGTGATACAATTGCCTTTCTCCCACTCCCCACCCTGTTTAACGTGATGTCACATTGACAAAAATAAAAGGTGACATAATGCTTTGCGTTGAGCTAGGCAGGTCCCAGCCAGAGTTCTTTCTTCACACACAGAAGCACACCCTGCCCAGCTCGCTGCTGTTTACCTAGTCCAGCGGTTCTCAACCTGTGGGTCGCAACCCCTTTGGGGGTCGAACGACCCTTTCACAGGGGTCGCCTAAGACCATCGGAAAACACATATATAATTACATATTGTTTTTGTGATTAATCACTATGCTTTAATTATGTTCAGTTTGTAACAATGAAAATACATCCTGCATATCAGATATTTACATGACGATTCAGAACAGTAGCAAAATTACAGTGATGAAGTAGCAACGAAAATAATTTTATGGTTGGGGGGTCTCCACAACATGAGGAACTGTATTAAAGGGTCGCAGCATTAGGAAGGTTGAGAACCACTGACCTAGTCCTTCAGCCAGGAAGACTTCATCCAAATTTTGCTTCAATACTGCCCTCTTGTGGCTAAAAGATCCACATCTCAGTTGCTTCTCAGGGATAAGTTTGTATACAATCTGTCTGGTCAACAAGTATGATAACACGTGACCAAGACTGACATGCTCCCTGTGCTCATGGAACTTACATTCTAGTACGAGATGTTCTCCAGTCAGTTACCCAATTGGTTCCTCAGGCCAAGTCTTCCGAGGAAATGGGCCACTGGCTCGGCCTCCTGCTCTCCGAGTCGGGCTCCAAGACAGACCCAGAGGAATTCACCTACGACTACGTGGATGCAGACAGGGTCTCCTGTATTGTGAGTGCGGCCAAGAACTCCCTGCTGTGAGTAGTGCGGGTCTTCTGCGCCCTTTCACTCGGAGTCATGCTTCCAACTCCAGGCCCAGATTGGCCTCTGGTGGCCAGTCGCGCCGGGGGGTGGCCGAGAACTCGGGGTGGGCCTCGCTCCACCCAGCGGCAGGAGGGCCAGGGGCTGGGCCGGACCCAGCAGCCACACGACCTTGGCTGGGGGGAGACCATCCAGGTCCTTACAGCCGAGTTGGCATGTTCCCTGACCCTCCGCTTCCCTCGCTGTCGGCTCGGTGCTTTCCCGAGGACCCCCCTCTGGGTCCCCAGCGCCCCCTGGAACGAGCAGGGCGGAGGTGGTGCTTCCACTTTCTAGATGAGCACATGGGCTCCTGGGCCGGGTGGCTGAGGAGCCGCCAGGACACGGAACCCCTTCCTTATGTACAAAATGGGGAAAGTCTCCGGTTGTTGACAGTGAAATGAGGAGGGGTTTTGTTGTTATTGGAGAGCCTAAAATGGGGTCAGAAGATAGCAAAAGGATGCCAAGGGGGGGAGGGGGAAGGGTGCTTTTCTGGAAGAGAAGTTTGGGACCCACAGTTCTATAGGAAGGCCCAAAGGAAAGGGAGGGGCTGCCCTGAATGAACGTGTTACATGAGACCGGAGCTAGTCTCGTTATGAATTCTTTGAGGCTGGTGGCTTTTACCACCCTCCTCCCCCATCTTGAATCCTCCTCTCCGAGTCTTGCCATGTGTCTTCCAGATTGATGCAGAGGAAGTTCTCAGAGCCCAACACTTACATCGACGGCCTGCCCAGCCAGGATCGCCCGGAGCTGCTGTATGACGACGTGGAGATGTCCGAGCTGACGGCAGCGGTAAGGACGCTGGGGGCAGCCACGGGGGGCTGTCCAGTCCTCCTGCCGCCAAACCTCAATCCCACTGGCCGTAGGAGGAGTGATTCGAAGTCACCTGCAGGGCCACCAGGGCAGAAATCTCGGCGCAACAAGGTCGCCTTTTGTATTGGGGCGGGCAGTCCGCCTGGCATGGGGACTCGGGTTGGCCACCCTGGTCAGTGCTAGGATGGGCTGCGCTGCTGGGATTGGGAGCCGCGTCCCCATCAATCAGCCTTTGGGGTCAAGAATGATAGTGAAGGTGGAATCATCGAATAGTCAGGTTCCATGGTCAGACACTGGGCTCTGCTGTGCTAAGGGCTGCTTTGGCTGATCTCATTTAATCCAAGCCACCTGCGAGGCAGGTACCATTACTCTCCTCTTACAGCTGAGGAATGAAGGTCAGGAAAGCTCGTACTATGTCAGTTATGGCCAACCTTTTGAGCTCGGCGTGTCAGCATTTTGAAAAACCCTAACTTAACTCTGGTGCCGTGTCACATATAGAAATTTTTTGATATTTACAACCATAGTAAAACAAAGACTTATATTTCTGATATTTATTTTATATATTTAAATGCCATTTAACAAAGAAAAATCAACCAAAAAAATGAGTTCAGAGGTGACACGCGTGTCATAGGTTCGCCATCACTGTACTATGTCCTGGGTCTCCCACCTCTTGAGGGGCTGATCCAGGGCTTGAACCCTGACCTTCTAACTCCAGATCAATAGAGGCTTCCCTGGGGGAAGGCCCCTGCGCATCCCACACAGGGAGGGGACAGGCGCTCTGAGACAGGGCGGGCGCCACCTCTCCAGCCCAGGCTGCGGAAGCAATGGTGAAAGCCACCTGCCTCTCCACTGCAGGTGGACCCCGAGGAAGCTGCCCCGGCCACAGATGCTCCGAGCGAGCTCGACCCTGACCGCATGTACCTGGACCTCACGCCGGTCAAGTCCTTCCTGCACAGTCAAGGTGGCACCCAGGCCCGAGGCTGCTCTCCCACACCGCCCTGCCTGGACCCTCCAGCAGAGGCCCTCCCTGCAGACCCGGGCCCCGCCCCAGCTGAGCCCCCCGTCGTTACATCTGCAGAGACCCCCGAGTTGCAGGTACAGGTCGTCCCCCAGCTGGTGGGCTGGCCCCACCTTCCCAGGCCCCTCAGCCGGCTGAGTTGTGCTCGCTTTCTCCAAAAGCAGGTGCAGCAGGAGAGTCTGGAGCCGGAGGAGCTGTCCCCCAGAATCTCGATGGTCAAAATCCAGACTGAACAGCAAAAACTCTCCTTCTCATCGAGCTGCCCCGATGCTGTGGCTGTCACCGCAGCCGGGGCCAGCACGCCTGCGAAGGACAGGCTGAGGGTGACCTCTGCAGGTACCTGTGCTGGAGACGAGCATGTCTTGGAAATGGCTCAGAGGAGTTAGCCCCATCCTTCCCCTTTGGTATGAGGACACAGAGGGTCGGCGAGGAGGAGAGATTTGCCCCAAGCCATGCAGTGGAGAAGGGGTGGTGCCCATTTCCTTTCCCGGCCCTGCAAGGCTGGCCTAGCGTCCAGCTCTGATTTCCTGTCAAAGCCTCAGTTTCCCCTGAGCCTGTGTGATGGGTTGGCCATAGCCCTCCTGGTCCAGCCTGGCTGACCTCGGGGTTCCCTCTCTGGGTTTGTAGAGATCAAACTTGGCAAGAACAGGACGGAAGCTGAGGTGAAGCGGTACACGGAGGAGAAGGAGAGGCTGGAGAAGAAGAAGGAAGAAATCCGGGGGCACCTGGCTCAGCTCCGGAAGGAGAAACGGGAGCTGAGGGAGACCCTGTCGAGATGCACAGGTGAGGGGCCTGGCAGGGCACGTGGAGGCTGGGGCTTCTCTCAGGGCGAGCCTGGACCTGGGCCCCTGGCCTACAGCCCTGCCAGTCTTTGCCCAGGTGCATGTTCCCCATCTTAACCCCCATTTGAAAGGTCACTGTCCTATGCAGAGAGACCCCCTGACCCATTGTCAATAGGCCCAGGAGGTAGTTTTAAAAGCTCGCTCAAAGAATACGTCCTTAGACATTTTATTTTCACCTAAATCAAATGCATATACACCCAGGTCCATCTTTCCATGCGTTGCCTTTTTCAGAGATCCCATGTCATCGTTCTTGCATTAACCACACGCATCCTGCATCATCCTTAATTTCCAGTCTTCAAAGACTTAGGACACTTGCAGAGAAATCTGCGTCCCTCTAGATCAGTGGTTCTCAACCTTCCTAACGCCACGACCCTTTAATACAGTTCATGTTGTGGTGACCCCCAACCATAACATTATTTTCGTTGCTACTTCATAACTGTAATTTTGCTACTGTTCTGAATCGTCATGTAAATATCTGATATGCAGGATGTATTTTCATTGTTACAAATTGAACATAATGAAAGCATAGTGATTAATCACAAAAACAATATGTAATTATATATGTGTTTTCCGATGGTCTTAGGCGACCCCTGTGAAAGGGTTGTTCGACCCCCAAAGGGGTCGCGACCCACAGGTTGAGAACCGCTGCTCTAGATCCTTTTCCAGATCATCCTCATCTCACCCGTTTCCTAGCAACCTGCCCTTGAAAGGACCTGCCCCGGTCCTGGCTGAAACGCTGCTCCCTGCAGCCGGCCTCATTCCCATTCCAGACAAGGGGGCGCTGGCCAGCCTGGAGCAGAAGCTGAAGGAGATCGACGAGGAGTGCAGGGTGGAGGAGAGGAGGCGCGTGGACCTCGAGCTCAGCATCGTGGAGGTGAAGGACAACCTGAAGAAGGCCGAGGCCGGGCCCGTGACGCTGGGCACCACCGTGGACACCTCCCACCTGGAGACCGTGAGCCCCCGAGTGAGTGGCAGGAGCTGTTGGCAGGGCCTCCTGGATGGGGGTAGGGGGAAGCGGGGGCTCATGTCTCCATCCTCCCCCGGCTCAGGCATCACTCTTTTGTCACCACAGCCCAAAGCCGCCGCCCCCACCCCTGCCCCAGACTGTACCCCCGTCAACTCTGCCACGGCGCTCAAGAACAGACCTCTTTCCGTCATGGTCACAGGCAAAGGCACCGTCCTCCAGAAAGCCAAGGTAAGCGGTCCCTCCCGGCCCCCTCCAGGGCCCCAGGGGCGGCACCAGACCTGACCTACCAGAGGGGCCTTGGTTCACGGTTCTTACCCGTCAGCCCGAGGACAGCCAGATCCTGAACCACCCAATTAGCCATAGAGTCTAGGGAGACAGACGGGAAGTGGACAGTTTTCAAACCAAAAAAGCCAGTGAGTCTAAAGGAGTCCTGCCGTGGCAGCGTAAGCAGCAGATTCAGACAGGTGATGTGATTTGCCTAAAGCCTCCAGCCACCAGGTGTCCAAGGCTCGGGAGGGTGTCGGCTCATTCCTGGGCTTTCCGCTGACGGCCAGACACGCGTGTGGTTAGTCCTTCCCTCGTGTCCAGTGCAGACGTGCCCAGAGTTGCCCGCGCATTCGGCAAACTCCGCGGCACCTGCACCCATGACTACTGAATGCCCTGGAGCTGCTGCTCCCCTGTGGCCGTGACAGACACCACAGACCCCTTACTGTGCCACAGCCTCAAACATCCCTTAAAGAGGTGCCACACGCACAGGGTTTGAAACACAGCGGCTGCCTCTATTCCTAACGGGCTCTGTGCACAGGGGCGGGGGGCGGCCACAGAGCACAGCTAACTTGCCTCTGTCTGGGGGCTGCTGGTATTTGAATGGCGCCCTAGGAATGGGAGAAGAAAGGGACCAGTTAGGACACAAGCGTCACTGCAAGCCTCTCCTGTCCACGGGGACCTTGGCGACAACCCCGCTTCGGCCAGGCCTTCCTTCAAGCAGCGACTCTGTGAGCGGGTGAGTCTGTTTAAAAGGAAAAGCAAGGACGGGGGACCGCGAACGGAGAGCTCCGGCTGATGGGAGGCGCGGGCCCTTTGCAGAGAAAGGAACTAGCAGGACCAGAGAGAGAGCTGTGACTTCAGCCGGCGCTGATGCCCTCGGTGACGCGGTAACGGAGCAGAAAATACCTGGGACCACGCGGAGGCACTGTCCCCACTCAGTTAAGGACTTTTTTTAAAGTGACGCTGTATTATATTTTTAAAAATATGTTTCAAATCCTGTCATTTAGAACAGTGAAGTGTCTTTTGAGATTTAACTGACTTTTTGACATTATCGTAGAGAAAAAGAGATTAGTACTTTGTGTTTACAGAGTCCGTCCTGTGGCCATTGTTAAGAGAAGAGTTATTTAATATAATGCTCTCGTAGTCCCGGTTTTTTTAAATTGTGCTTAATGTCCGGGCACCTTCCAAGATAATAAAAGGGGTGAGTTTGGGGTGGGCCCCCGTCTTTTCCTCCGATGGCATTGTTTGCTAACGCAGGTTGAAACATTTCATCCGTCATCTCCGCCTCACTTCCGGGGGTTCTCAGAACTAAAGTTCTTTCTAACCCCAGGGCATTTATTTCCTTTGTCAGAAACACTTGGTGGCCCTTTGCCAAGTGGTGAGTTAGATTTTTCTAAAAAATAAAATAAAATGTTAATTGTGTTTTTGGAGGTTTCTTGTATTTCATGGAGTGACTTGGCAGGGCCTGTTGGACTTGTACCTCAAGGGGGAATGTCTTGGTTATTTATTTACACACAGAACTTCAAAATATGTGTGTAAAACCGAGGGCTTTACAAGGTGCCATCTTAGCAGGTGATGTTATGCCTCCTTGACTCCAGGAGCATAGATGGAAAACGGAAAGGGTTTTCATAGTATAATTAACCACGCGCCAAATACACTAGAAACATCTGCAGGAACTGACTACTTCTGGAAGCTAAACACATTCCTAAATCATTCTTCGGGGAAAGAAACCGGTACTTAGAGAGTTGTAAATTAAGGAAGTTGCTAGCATAAATGTGTTTATTTTTACAAATAACAAAATTTGCCAATCTTTTTATGCAGGACCTTTTTCATGTACGTCCATAAATAAGATTTGGTTTTTCTTTTGCCAGTATGTGTTCGATTTTTGGTTCCAGAGCTGTGCTAACTGTATACAATGGAAAATACATACTCCTCAAACTGCTGTGTTCATCGCATTTTCTTGTGATTCAAGAAAATCTTGTCAGCATGTGTACTCCAGGCTCAGTTGTGCCTTTAACACATTGCGTACCGCATAGAAATCTCTAAGACATACGCCAGGGACCGCACGTTTTTGGGCAAACTGCACATTATTTAAATCATCATAATGCACTTTAGGTGTTGTTTTTCAATAATTATAACATTTTTATTTACAAAAACAATTAAACAATTAAAGTTCCTAGTACTTTTTCAACGTATGGTACTGCGTAAAACATTTTCCTCTATGAAGAAGGACCAAACAAAATTTACATAAGTATCTAGATTCGCTCCTTTTTCCATGGGCGTGAAAAACGAGAACACTCATGAGCGGTCCTTAACAGATGGCGCGCGAAACATGAGAACACTCCTGAGCGGTACGAAATGTGTTAATGTCGCCTCAGGTTGCCAGGGTTTGGTTTTGTCATCTTCAAGCACATTAATGACCAGATAGCGTTGATTCAGAATCAAAGTGGTTCAACCACTGATAATACACTGATAGGTAAGTTATTGTATGTACAGATTATATGTGGGAGGAAACATTATTTCAAAGGAAGCAGAAAAGCATATCACAAATCTCAACACTCCTAAAACATTCTCTGTCATCTAGGAATAAAAGCGTTCCTACCCACAAGAAAATAATATCTAATGGTGAAAGAAGCAGATATGTGCTGTGGCCACTACCTATTAAAAACATGATTCTGCAGGTTCTATAGATAATGCAAAATGACAAGAAAAATCAATATAAAGCTCCCAAAGGAAGAGACGAAACTGTCATTATTTGTAAACGACGTTTTTCTAGAAAAGCAAAGAGCATCAATGAACTGCTAGAACACACGTGCTTGGGTAAGTTGTCCGGAATGAGGATCATTCAGAGAAAATGAAAGATTGATGGCTTACTGCAATGCTTCGATGTTTACAAGAACGTAAAAGGCTCGGCCGGTCAGGCAGTAAGAAAGGCATGCCCTCCATTGCTGCTGGGACCTAAACTAGAAGCGGCGAAGCCTTTAACATGTAATCCTCAATTTTATGGGGCTTTTTTTAGAGTCCAAGCAACTCAAATTGGACATCCAAATAGCCTTGAACCAGACAAAGAACCCATACTCTAAAGTGATTAAACTGCTGTGAATTTTCGAGACAACAAATTCTTGAAAGCTCTCCAACATCGGCCCCTGCTGGGTAGCCTTGTGGCCTTGCTCTGATGTCCCCTTCCGCCAAGGCCAGCGTAACAACAGGAATGAAAATACCCTTGAGCACAAACCACTGTCGCGATAGCCTGGGCACCCCGGGCTTTTTATTTCTACCATCGACGGCACCGTGGCGATAACCAGGAAGCTCAGTGGTGTTTAAGTGGAGGTAGCCGTGACCTTTGCATAGAGGGCATGGCATTATCGACAGTAAAGAGAAAAGCTACCATCAAGTATCCGGACTGAGGCGAGGGCTCTGCAACAGTTTCCCCTGAAAACTGAACTCAAAACGACACAACCACAACCGACGGGAAGAACTGGTGCCTGAATAGGCCGGGGTGAGGAAGTGCCTGGTTTACCAGAGAATGTCCCAAC